CAGCTCCGACAGAACACAGACCAACTTTTACCTGCTGTCTTAACAGCGCGTTTTAGAAAATACCACAAATGGCGCGGTAAACGCCATCTGTGGTACGATGCTACATTTTAGGATTACGTATGCTCCTCTACTTCTTGAAACGAATTCCGGCGTAGCTAACCTCAACGTGACAGGCACGTTACCATAATCGAATTAAATGGACCTTGTTGGAGCATACGTAATCCTAAGCATCGTACTACAGATGGCGTTTACCGCGCCATTCGTGGTATTTCCTAAAACTAGAAACTTTGGAGTCAAGGGTCGAAACCACCAAATGGAACAAGAGGGAGAGGGGATGAGATAGCTAGAGAATATGAATTGCAGATAAAATATGTAAAATTTGTAGTTTTAATCGTTTACTGCAAGAAAAAGACGAATGTTCATTCAGAGGAACCACTCTTGGAAGAGTTTTAGATTTTAATTTTCAGAATTACTTTTCCCTATCTCACTATCAACTTACTATACCATTAAGCCCTCTGTTGTGACGGTTGCAAACTTCTCGTATTTCGAACGACTTGATTAAATAACAGAAAAAGAGAAAATTAAATGAGCGAATTAAAAAAAAAATAGCAAACGAAGAGGGGGTTCAATGCATCGTGCTTTTAATTAAATCCGTGTCTCATGGTGACCCATTTAAAGAGAATATGCCACCCAGCGATAAATCGACTATGGTATATTACGAATAGATATTCAATATAATAATCCTAAATTATTATTAACCGATAGACTTACGACAAACTGCCTTGTAATAATAAATAATAAATCCATTTGAAAATTACAACAATTTTGAAATATTCAACAAAAACAACTCACCCTTGCTAAAAATTGAACAAGAGGAAATAAATAGGTATGTATGTATAACGCATATACTTATACATTTAAATAAAAGAAATATAACGCGTTTATATAATTCCTTAAAGCTGTCTTAAAATACTATAAATAATAAATAATTTTAAATTCTCGTACTGATATGTAAGACAGAAAAAAATTACAAAACAGTTTGCTTCGGAAGATAGATAATAATATTACAAAAATAGAAACGATAGCGAATATAGAGTCTTTTTTAAGTACATTATAATAATAATAATTATGTATGTATTATTTATATTTTTGCTTTTTTTTCGATAAGACCCAAACATATTATTATTAATTATTTATTATCGTTATTAATATTTTATGAATTGTCATATACAAAATGCAGACCTGACAGCAATCGAAGCCAAAAACAGAAATAAAAATAGAAATGTACAGACGAAAGAACAAAAAAAACAAAAAGATAAACGACCCGTAGTAATAGTACTAGTGTTAGTAGTCTTGTTAAGTTACGAAAAATGTACAGGGTGTTGCTTTAACATTCGCAAATCACTTCGCAGCATTTCCAACAATATGAAACGCTAATTCAAACTCGACATTCTAAGTACTGAATTTTTCTAAAACGTTCATAATTTGGATTTATTATACCATACGCCTATCAAGCAGTTTTTACATCTTACAAAGCAGTGCCCTACGTTTTTTACAGGATCATTTGAGCATGAAAAAATTTTCGGTATTGGAGGCTCGACAATAAAAACTGTTCAAATTTCTTCTCCCCTTCTCTCTCTCTCTTGCTGTGGGAAATTGTTGATTTAGTTTTCAAAGAACAATATGAATAATAATTAATGATGAAGTGATTTGTGGAAAAGAAACCGTGTAGCATCACCCTATACGCGCGTGCGCACAAACCAATAAAAAAACTGGTCTCTTCGTACATATTATACATACATATATCACAAATACCATTTCATTAAAAAATACTTTCATTGGTAAGAAAACTAGAAAAGCTTTTTTGTTTTACTTGCGGTTTTTTGTTGCATACGTGCATGTGTCCCACATTCTTTCGACCCGCATGCCCTTCCTCTTCGTTCGCTCCTGATGGTACCGAAGAAGAACTCCTCTTCCGCATCCTCTTTTCCCGCTCGTTCAACCTGTCCTTCCAACGTTGTCGCCATGATCATCAATCGAGTCGAAACGGTGGTGGGCCGCAACAACAATAACAACAACAGGTGGTAGTCGGGGGCGTCACCGTCGTCGTGGTGGTCGTCGTAATCGTCGTCGTCCTCTCAGTTGCCGTTGGCGTTACGATGCGCCGTTATAATGACATTTCGATTATTGGTCGAGTCGGTGCCGTATATTTTGCCCGCCTTTTTCGCCATCGAACCCAGAAGCTCTTGGGACATTTTGTGGGCCGACTTGAGCGACGTCAGCCATTCCTTTAGGCCGATTTCATCCTAGAATAGTTTATTAATTATTTGTAAAGGACTCACAGAGGTACTCTAATTATGTATGATAAAGGTCAAACTGAAGTATAAAGATTTGATAAAAAGATTTTGTTTTACAACAAAACTAAAAGAGAAACTGTTAATTTTGATTAAAGAATATATGTATATATTAAATTAGAGAAAAACACCCTGTGCATTGTTGTAAGTACTTGCCGGATTGGTTAAAACCACTTTCCCATCTCTCATTCTTATTATAATACATTGTTCGTTTTTGACTTGGACAAGATCCGGATTGACTTCTTCGACAAGATCCATTAGGACCATTTCCGGTTTCGCAGAATCGGGATGTAACTCTAATCGATTGGGATACAATTTCGCGTACCTCATCTGCCAACTGGACGTCCAAGGGCCCCCCAGTTTTTTAATGTAGCCGTGCAGAATACAATCCGATTCTGCAAATACAAAATACATTTAAAAATATGCTTAAATTTGTTGATAATCTCAATGTCTTCGTCTTTAAATTACCACTTTTGAAAATATTAGTAATTCTTGAAAACATTATCCAATAATATGCTAGGTACTGGAAATATTACTTAAGTAAATGAAATATGTAATTTAAAGTACTATCCAATAATATGCTAAAAAAACGTACGCTTTTCGTCTAGATCGAATAACTTTTTCTGCTTTGCTTTCCTCTTATGTTCTGCTTTATCTGCTTCAAAGTTGATGGTCTCAAAGACAGTCTCGGCCACTTCATTCTGCCACCTCTCCGATATAACCAGAGGGAAATTTTTATAAAGCTCTTGGTCAGCTTCAGTCAGCTACAAAATTACAAATAAAATTAAAAAGCAATTAAACTATAAAAACGAATCCACAAAAGAGAAAAATTTAAATTTAAAAAGTATTTAAAATAACGGAGTTACGGGGAGGATGGATTAAAAATAAAAAGTTTTGGTAAATGACCTTGATTCCTTTGGTATCTTCCTCGTCAAATGAGCCAATGTCGAATGCATCGGCTGCATTAACCTCACCTCTGGGGGGAATTAATGGAGGGGTGTACTTCTGGTGGTACACCTGTTGCCAGTCAATTCCAGCAAAGAAGGAGTGTTCTTTTACCTCATCGGCCCTGTAAAATACAAACAAAATTGTATTTCTTTAAATCAAAAATAATTTTTTAACACATAAAGTTGTCAATGTAAATTTATTTGTTTGAGGTATATTTTATTTTATACAAAATAAACGTTCACTCGTGTCACGTACCCCCTGCCCTTGCAGCCCAGTCTCTTGTCCACATCCCTTTGCAGCAATCCTTCCAGTAACGACTTCAGTTCCTTACTAAACGATTCTGGCAGTTCGACATTCTGTAACAAACAATAAAAAATATATGCACATTATTCTTTTAGTTATCTGCGTTTCTTACCATAGTTAGCGTCATTCTATCAATTTCGTGTTTGTCTTTGGTCTTGTGCTGCCGAAAGGGCGAGTGCCCTTTCAATAGCTTATACAACATACAACCGAAACTAAACCAGTCGGCACTAGAATCGTAGGCTGTGCCCTTCGAGAGGACCTCGGGGGCCATATATCCATGCGTTCCCCTGTGAACCAATACATAATCCCAACATTAGTAATCATTGTCCCAACATTAGTAATCATTGTCCCTTGCGAACAATTCGAAAAAGATAAGTATGTGTACCCAGTGTACTTACACGCTAGCGTGGGGCTTTTTCTTGGAAAAATCACAGGCTAATCCTAAATCGCTTATCCGAACATGTCCATGTTCGTCTAATAAAATATTCGCAGGTTTTAAGTCTCTATATACAATGTACCGCCTGTGCATGTGCTCCAAACCTGTAAAATTTGAAATGTATAAATGCAAATCTATTAGCTTAATGGATTTATTTTTCCATTTTTTTTTATTTCATTTTCAGTAATTTCGTAGCAGTTTTTTTAAAATATTATTTTCATTAAAATACCTCTGTAAATTAGTCAGAGTTACCAAATTTTTAATAGTACATCCTAAAAGACTAATACGAATTTTTTTTTCAAGTCATTTGACCCCTATAAATGTTTTTGAACCTAGAAGGGTTCTATTGTTCCTTCAGAGGCAAGTAACTTTTTTATTTATTGCGTGTAAAAGTTTTGATAACTTAATTAAGTGTTGTTCTATTTTTCCGAAACATCACGTAAGGAACACAAGAAATTTGGCAAAGAAGAAGATAGAAATATATCGTATCATCAATATTATATCTAACTACAAAATTAGTTTCTCATTATCAATTATTAACAACGGAATGTAGCGTATATTAATGCTATTTATCTTTTGTAGGTATGGTTATAAAAGAGATATTTAACTCTNCAGAACGTTAATAAAAATGTACAGAAGAAAGTTCAAATATGGATTTAAATAAGTGGCGGGTCTAAGGGGTAGAAATGGGGAAAATTACCCCTACCAAAGCTCTATAACTTATAATTACTTTAGATTGTGAAACATGTTGTGTGAGAAACATCGAATTGGATGATTTGCTCTTGAATATAAAAAAATAAAATACAAATAAAAAAAAATGTAACTACCTTCATTTTTAACGAAAAATGAACCCCTTTCGTAAGAACTATTTCTGTAGCCACCCCTCAACTCATGAATGCTACTATTAAAAAATTATTTATTTGTTTCTTTACCAATTCTAGACAAGCCAAAACAAAGATTGACTTGGGTGTATAATTGGTTGCATATACTTTAATAACATGTGATATCCACTACGTTTCTGTTTGACGTGTATAATTGGTTGCATATACATACATATATGTATATTAACGTATACAGGGTGTAAAAGGTTAATGATTACATAGGTGCTACGCACTACGGGCTTAGATTATATGTTATTGTTAAGAATTTGGATGGCTGGTACTCAATAATAAATCAACGACAAATTAGTTAAAATAACATACCTAAAATAACTTCCGCGGCATAAAACTTCATTTCCGACTCGTTGAAGACGCCATGCTGACTGAGATGATAATGAAGGTCGCCGCCGTTCATAAGATCGAGGATGAAACACAATTTGTCGGGCGTGTGAAATGCGTAGGTCATGCAAACGATGAACGGACAATCTTGACCGGTACTGACTAGTGACAACATGATTCGCTCGTTCAACGCCAACGTTTCGCCCTGTTTCATTTTGATCCTCTTCTTGTCGAGGCACTTCATCGCGTACATCTTGCCCGTGTCCGCCTTCCGACAACCGTACACCTCCCCAAAACCACCCCTACCGATTATCCTGTGCACGCTGAAGTCGTTCATCGTTAACTATTATGAAAATTAATTTGAAGATATTAATGGAATGACTAATTTAATTTTATTCTCTAATGCAAAACCAAATAAAATCTATTGAATATTTTCCACTGTATTAAATCTTCTTACCTGAATATTTAATTCTAAATTCTTCCATTGACAAAACCTCGTGTACTTTTCGCTGAAATAAAAGGGCAACGTAAACGAATCGTAAAATAATTCGTCAATCAAACAAAGAAAAAACCAAATAAATTGTATATAAAAATAACAAATCTCTGAACTGAATCACTCAACAAATTAACAAATACCACAGATAATCTTTTCCAATTATGTACATACTTCAATTAATATCGCCCTGTACGTATTCCTTTAATTTTTTAATCGAATTTAGACTTTTATACAGGGTGACTTATAATTGAAAATAAAGTGAACTTTAAAAAAAAATCTACAGCAATAAACATTTGACGTTTCGGGACTAACAAATTAACATCTCAATCGATTTAGAATTTAAAGAGCTTCATCATAATCCCTTAAAAATACAAAAAAAAGAGTTTGGTCTTGTGGGACACACGATAGGGTGAAGCTTCTGGAACTCTTTAAACGCTATCTGTTCATAATAATTCGAAGTAGCATTTGTAAAACTGTCGGTAGGTAAGACCAATCTACCACGACAGCCATCTTTCCCTCCCTCTCTCTCTCTCATTACACGCAGTAAGTATGAGGGAGAGAGATGTCCACTAATTCAATACTGGCTAAGGGTTGTCAGACCTAACGAAATATCCCTAAACATAGGGAATTTAGAACCAACTTAGGGAAAATATTTTTTTTAAATTTACTATATAAATAAATTTTAGTGTTAAATGAATTCCTGTTGTTTAAAGATTACTTGTAAAATGGCAATTTCCAAACGTTTTAGGCCATTTTTTTAACGAAACTGAATTTTTCATGGCTTCAATTAAAGGTTCTTGAATTATCTCAAACATTTATACGTAGATCTGTTTCCAATACAACCCTTACTTTGAGCTACAGGACGTTCAAACTTAAAAAAAAAAATTAGTATTGTGCAATTTTCAAGCCTTCTATAAAAAGAATAACCAAAAGTTACTAGGTCCATTCATACGGTTCTTTACAACGTATGGAAGATCCCAAAACTGGTAATTAATTAGAATAGTAGCACCAGACAAAACTCGCTCTGGAGAATACATAAAAATAGTAAATTTATGATGGGGGAACGTTTCAAAAATAAAAATATTAAGGGGAGGCGGAACCGTTACGCACTTTAGCTTAAGTAATATGAGTTGGGGTAGTTTTTGTTGTAAGGTAGGATAGAGTAGGTTAGGTTAAGGCGGGTAACAATATCCCCCTTCCTTTAATATTCCTGTTCTTAATCAATTATTAATAATGAAAAAAATAAAATAAAATAAAAGATGGCTCCCCTGACTTAAATGTAATGTTCGGACTCCCTAAACGCATAAAAATTTATATTTATAGGTCTAAAACTGTAGAAATCGGCAAGCCAGAAATGTAGACATAATAAAATTCTGATAGTCTCCTACGCAACCCTAGAAACTAGCAAACACATCTAAAAACGATCTCCAGAACATTCGTACTGTTGAGATTTTTAATTTGACGAATAATAATTTGTATTCGTATGGCACATGGCCAAAAATCATTCAAACGATTATTACAAAAGCATCACGTACCGAGTGTGAATCACTAGACGTGTCAGAATTTATTAACTAATTTCTTAAACTATATCTAAACACTTGAACAGCTTCATTTAAACTCGATCGTAAATAACGAAGATGTTCAATTTTTAAAAATGATTTTTCACGGCTGTCCTAATGAGTGTACACATACCTGTGTATAAATAACTATAGTACAGAAAATACCACAAATGGCGTGATGAGCGCCATCTGTAGTACGATGCTATATTTTAGGATTACGTATGTTCCAGCAAGGTCCATTTAAAAATATGGATATGTACTTGCTGAAACGAATCCCGGCGTAGCTCACCTCAACGTGATACGCACGTTACCATAATCGAACAAAATAATTCGAAGTGGTCTGTATTCTGTCGAAACTGCCA